CTTTTCCCCCAGATACAAAATAATAAAGTGCAGTTCCCATCCCCAGTAAGCTGTCATAAATCACATTCTCCAATTAGCCTAATTAGCCTCTGATGGCTTTTGATAATGCGTTGATCACCTGCTTGTGAGCAAGGCAATCTGCTGGATTATGGAGTAGTCATTCCTTAGCACTTAGGACTGACTGATTTTTTTAATTGGGCAAAAACACTGGTATTTCCAATGAAGCTTTTCCTTTTCCTTAAACCTTCTGTTTTATCATTACCTTTTGATAAAATTTTAAGTAAAATTTTAGTTTTATTCTTATTCACCTTAAAATCAGAGACCTGTCCATACTGCGCTAAAATTTCAACCAATTCGTTAACCAAATCTGTTGGATAAGATAATGTCACCACCAAATCATCAGCAAAAGCTTTCAACCTATAATCAATCTTATTTATTTTTATTCCTTTTAATCTAGAGGATTCTCGAATTTTAATAAGTAAGATTTCCATAGTTAATACAAATAACAAAGGGGATAAAGGACAACCTTGCCAAATACCTTTTTCTATTTTAAATTGCTCTGTTAATCCCCCATTAATTATAATTTGTGCTGATTGTTGCTGATATACAGTTTTAAGAGCACACAAAAATTTATCTCCAAAATTCATTTCCTCTACCACTTTCAATAAAAATTTCCAATCTAATTGAACAAAAGCTTTCTCCGCATCTATAAATATTAAGGCAGCAGGAATTTGATTATTCTTATCCAAATATTCTATTACATTAACCAGTTGTCTTACATTATTTTTCATGTATCTTCCCGTTATAAATCCCGATTGATCAGTATGAATCAGTTGTTTCAAAACCTGCATTAATCTAATTGCAAAAATCTTTGCAAAAATTTTATAGTCTGTATTTAACAAAGATATAGGCCTATAATTTCTAGGCTGGGTCAAGTCCTGATCATCCTTTGGAATCAATGATATGAAGGCCCTTTTCCAGGATGGAGGCTGCTTCATTTTCTTGATCGGCCTTCAACCTGGCAGCTTCAGCTTCTCGATCGGCCTTCACTCTGGCAGCTTCAGCTTCTCGATCGTTCTTCATTTTGATTGCTTCAGCTTCTAGCTTGGCCTCTATTTCAGCTTCCTCAAGTTCTATGGCTGCCAACTCCTTCTTTCTCTGCCTCTCCTCTTGTGCCACGCGAAAGACAGCTTCAGCAGCTTTAGCATCTATGATCATTTGTTTGATTTGTGAGATTCGGGAGGTTCGGCTATGACGGGAAGATGCCTTCGAAAGGCGGGAGGTGCCTGTGACATGCGGTTGTTGGGACATGCTGGAATGTGTCTTGGATTTGTGGCGGAAAGATGAGGTTGTTCCAGACACGTGGGATGGAGCCGCATGCGACTGTTGGGATGGTGTATGTGAATAGTGGGAAACTTCGGACTCGGCTCTGTCGACCGGTCTGCTTCTCTGGTGAGGCTTGGGCTGTGGGGAACACTCCTTTTGTTCGTGGTAGAGTTTGTACAGTCTCTCCCAGCCTCTTTCAATGCGCCTGTGGATGGTGTCCAGATGTGAGTTCATGGCTTCTGTGGGCTTTCTTTGTTGTCTCAGATCATACTGACCCTGAGACGTTTTTGGCTTTGTCGAGGCTTGAGCTTCAGCCTCTTTGTGCAGGTCAAGGTTGGCTGTTGGCAGCATTTCTCCTTGGCCAGCTGGTTGGTGTATCTAAGCTAGGCTGGTTGGTTGAACCCCCTCTGCTAGATCAGCGGAACACTCTGCCATGGCTAAGACAGGTTCAGAACACTTCCTAGCTATTTTGAAGCAAATTGGGTGAACTTTTCCTTTTGACCAATAGGGGTCGCTGCTTGCAGATCAGCTACTTGGGTACTGTCTTTGGATGGAGGTGCCACTGGGAGCGTTCTCCTGCATTTGTGGGTACTTCAGCGCAGTTCACCCCATCACCACTAGGGGTCACTTGCTGCGGGTCAGCTACCAGGGTGTTCTTCTTTCGAGGTTCACCCTTTGTCCACTAGAGGGCCTCCTCTGGCCACAGTTAAAGGCTTGCATGTAGTTCCTCCTTTGACCACTAGGGGGCGTCTGAAGAAAGGCCAGTCAAATTCTTCCTATTACCACGTTACTGCTAGTGGGCCACTGAAAGAATGTAGAGGTACAAACTTCCACCTGGCGACCACGTTACTGCTAGTGGCTACTGACAGAATGTAGAGGTACAAACTCCCACCATTGAGTTGCAGGCTGGAACTCTGGGTCATCAGCTGTGATAATAGGCGAAGGCAATTGGCTCTTGTTTTCTTTCTCTCAAGTTGGAACAACTTGGTCTTCAGCTTGTGTGAGTGAGTGGGTACTTTGGCGAAGTTCACTCTCTGTGCCCTCTAGGGGTGTTGGTAGCTTGGGATAAATTTAAGTAGCTTGCACTTTAACTAACAGATTCACTCTGTGAAGCTAGTGCTGTGAGCAGTGAAGTTCCTTTTCTCCCTCTAAGAAATGCTCTTGGCTAGGCTTGCTGTGAGCCTGTAATTGTCAGTTGTAATAACTCAGTTTTAAGTTGACCACCAGGGGGTGCTCCTGCAACGCCATTGGAGTTGGGTCTGCTTCTGTAACCATAACATTGGCTGAAATTCCAAGCATTCTTAAGGGAGGAGGGAGCTTAGCTTTTTCTCTAGTACTGTGATGGCTGGCAAATTAGTTGTTCAGAGAATTCAAAAGACACGTTCTTGGCAGCGAGCTGATTAAGCAAAGACATCTTTTTTTGGGGTCTAGCTACATAGGCAGTAATCTCTGTGATTACTTAGAAGCAGGCGAACACTCCTCTCATCAATGCTGGGTCACTATGGCAACGAATGGTTTATTGTGTGCCATCTGGGGCCCGAGGGAGGAAATGGCTTTGCAAGGGCAATTAGCTCTCCTTGGCTGTTTAATTTAACGGCAAAGAAGGAGGGTGGAATAAGGCCCAAAGCTTCTTTTGGTGTTAGAAATCAGAGTTTACATGCAAGAACAAGAGTGTGGGTTTTCTCTTTGCCTTGTAGACAGATCCAAAGGCAATTTAAAAACAGCACAAGGCACATTATACTTTACTGTACTTTGAAGCGTTGGCTGGCAAGCAGGATTTGACTGGTAATGAATCCTTGCCGGCAGGTAAGCTTTGTCATGCAGTGGCTACTTGTGGAGCTGACAGCGAATTAGTAAAACAATACATCTGACTCACACCTTCTTTGAAGCGCTGACTGCCTTCACAAACACACTGACTTCGCTTTGCAGGCTTTAATGGGAGACAGAGCTCAGAGATTACTGTTGCAGGCAATTGAAGGAAATTAGCCCCGTCAAATTACTACCTGCGAGAAAATATCTGCTTTACTTCCTTCAAACCGTTGCAGGAGCTCAGAGGAGGAATAATCTTTATTAAATTACTGTTCTGCCCAGACGGAACTCGTGGCTCTGAATTCAATCTAAACAGTCAGCTAACTCGATAGAAATGATTTAAACAAACATTTACTATCCAGGGATTCTAAGCAGAGACTTACTATGCTGTAGATACATCTGGTTTTCCATATTTGTTCATTCCTCTAGGTAATTTAATATTGAATTTTCCCCTCTTCTTCTGCTGAGAGTCACATGTTGGCAAAACACATGTGGCTAGATGAACAAAGGCTTGCATCTGGCTTGTGTCCAGGAAGTCTCCCAATGACCCTTTTTGACTCCTCCCACTGACCCATCAACATACCCAGCATTTAACCCAATAACTGCCAGATATTCTAACATACTAACACATGCTCCCTAGTTAGAGTTACGTAGGTCTATGCTAAGTCCAGAACAAGAGGTCTTCTAGTCCAACCCCCTGCTGAAGCAGGAGACCTTCTACCATTCCAGACAAGTGGCTGTCCAGTCTCTTCTTGAAAGCCTCCAGGGATGGAGCACCCATGGCTTCTGGCCCACTGGTTAATTGTTCTCAGGAAATTTCTTCTTAGTTCTAGGCTACTTCTCTCCTTGACGAGCTTCCATCCACTGCTTCTTGTCCTGCTTTGAGTGCTTTGGAAAATAGGTTGACCACCCCCACCGTGGCAGCCCCTCAAATGTTGGAAGACTGCTCTCCTGTCCTCCCGTAGTCCTTCTTTTCACTAGGCTAGCCATACCAATTCTTATTGGAGAAGACTGAACCAGAGACGAATCAAGCAGCTTTTAAATTTGTCCGTCCACTAAAATGCTGGTTTCCCCTTTTTTTCTTTTTCCTTTTGTGTTTAAGATACCCAAACAAGACTTTAGGTTGTTCTGAGCATTGTTCATTGAGCTTCGGCTTCCTTGACCGCAGCTCTGGAGTTTGGCCACCTCTCTTTCGACTTCCAGTCTATGTTTGTTTTCAACTAACTGTGAAGCTCTCTTGTCTCAAATTGTCCTCCATTTTTTCCTCATATTTGCAGTTATGCTTTTAATACGCTTCTTTGGGAACCTCCACCCACCTTACAGTCCTTTTCCCATTAGTTCCTCCTGCTGCAGGATCCTGCTGATATTTGCTCTGAGTTCACCAAAATCTGCTTTTTTGAAGTGCAAGATATGAGTGGAGGTTGTCTTCCTAATGGGGTGGGTTCGAGGAGAAGATGTTGTTGAGAATTTCTTCAATCACTGCTGCAGTTGTTCTGTAGCAACTTGGTTGTGCCAATCAGTGTCAAGTCTTCTCTGTCCATCAGCGTCAAGTCAAAGATAAGTAATCCTGCTGGGCCTTCTCCATCCGAAAGAAAGTTGTCAGCAAGACAAGTCAGGAATTTCCTGGGAAAAACTTGCTTGGCAGAGTTTAACCGATGCTAGGATTAAGTCTCCCCTCATTTATTGCCATTTTTGCAACACTCATGTGACCCACTTGGTAGGCTTTGCTGTGAAATCAGCTGATGCCAGGACAGAGATTGGCCCCAGATCAAGAGGGCACAGAGCCTCAGCCCCAATTTTCTCCAGCTCAGCCACTTGAGCGGTCCTGAGTTGGTGCTGATTTCCATCTTTTCCTCCTTTTGCAGATTTTGAGTCCAACTCTGAAAAGAAATCCTGGAAGTCCATTGTTTGGCTGTGTATGATGATCATCAGTCTCATTCTCTTCTGCTACATCTGTTTCCTGTGGTGGGTTTCATTTATTGATTTGCTTGTTTGCTTGTTTTATAAGCCGCCTCCGGCATTCGAGTGACTCTCAGTCCCCTACAACATTTAAATCAATAAACAAGTAGCAAACAGTAAACAGAAATAAATACTACTACATTAGAGAAGGAAACTGCAAAAACCGGGGAACAGAGTCCCTCTCCAGGATGGGATGAGAAATTGCCTTTTGTAAGAGCCTGCCTCGAAGAGCGTTCCTAAGCAACTCCAGACTAGAGTTAAGTAGATATTGGGATGTGGGATTCTGCCCCACGGATATAGCCAGCTCTAGAACAGGCATGTCTCAGAGTTCTCCACAAGATGATGTAATTTTAATAACAGGACCTGGTGCTTGGCTGGATGTAGCAAGATGGGCAGACATACCTGGAGATACGCAGGTAACCAGGCCCTGAGCCATAAAGGATTTTCTTAGTAACAGCCACCTCACTCAGCAGCCTCCTGGAGATGTTAACTAGAAGTGGAGAGAGATCAAGCCCTGAGTGATTTCCCAAAGAGCTCAGCCTCAATTTCCTCCCCCCACCCCCGTTGGGATCAATCTGAAGGAGAGGAGGGAAACCAGGCAATATTATGACCATTCAAATGGTGCCTAATACAACTCCCCTGTGCGGGGGTCTTAAAGCCGCAGGTGTTTGGGACATCCAGCGCAGGCGGTGCCTGTCCTGCCTGGCTTTTGTCTGCTCTTGTGAGGCTTGCTGAGGGTCTGCATGGGCTGCAGCTGCAGTTTTCCTGCATTTCTTCAGATAATGAAGTGAGTTCTTTTCTTGCTTTGCAGGGTGAAGAAGAAATGGTGGGACGCGATCCCAAATCCCCGCAAGAGCAAAATGGCAGAAGATATAATGGCGGGAAAATTGGTAGGCTTCCCCAGGGTGGCTCCTTTGGGGGGGGGCGGGGCACCCTCCAGATAAGCACCCTCAAGTGTCTTCCTGCTTCTTTCAGTTTTGGGTCTTTGGCAAGATGGAGACGGCTCCCTGCGACTCCCGCAGACGGTAGGTAGAGCGGAGAGCAGCTGCTCTGGCCCCTGAGGAAGGGCAGGGCAGGGTCTGCTACCCTGGAGCTATTCCTGTCTGTGTCATCGAAGCTGAGGGAGAGTCTGTCATGGGGGAGGCAGATGAGCCGCCAGGCAGCAGGAGGGGGAAGGCGAACAAGCGGAGGGGCAATACACTGATCCTCGTGTCTTTCCTTCCTGACATGCAAACTGCAGGCAGTTTCCAAGCAAAGGTGGTGCCAGTCTCCCTCATCAGCCTCTAAGTGTGAACCAGGAGCCCTTTTTAGTCCCCGAAGAAGTCTTCTTGAGCGAAGGCTCTCTAACCACAGGCCGCAGTGCCGGAGATGTCAAACCAGGAAGCCCGGAAGAGGCAGAGGAAGAGATGGAGCACGTCCCACATGAAGACGCTGTGGCTGGTCTCTTCAGGGACCTTCTGCATGGTGCCCTGAGCACAGGGGATCTGGGGGTCCCAGCAATCTCCCCGCAAAGCTGCGCCCCTCCAGAGAAGCCCGACTGCCTGGAGGCTTTCTCCCAGCCTACTTATCAAGGCTGCCAAGTGGTGGCCGAGGGCTCTGGGCTGGAGCTGTCTTTATCAGGGCAAGGCCCAGCCACTCGCGAAGGACAAGCCGACTGGCTGCCTGGGCTAGAGAGCTCACTGGTGGATCCCTCCTGCACTGCTCTCCCTCAGGCAGAGATCAGTCCTGCTGCCCCCTCGGCTTCAGGCTACAAGTCCTTCAGCAGCCTGGAAGCTCAGCCAGGGAGCGGCTTCAGCCCGTCTTGGAGTCAGTGGCCTTGTGTTGCCCAAGAAGGCCAAAGCCAGCAAGCTTGGGGTAGCACCAGCCCCGGTCTTCTGCCACTGCCGGACACTTCTGGAGGCTTCCCAGCAGGCCAAGATGCTTTCTCTCATTATGGAGCGGCTGTCCCAGAAACGTGGCTTTTCCCTCCACAGCAAAGAGTGGCCTCGGGAGCTTCTGCTCTGCTGGCCTCTGGAGTGAGCCTGCCTGGTCCGAAGGCGGCTTTCTTCTCCGGCTACCGGGCCTTCAGCTGTGCCCTCCAGAGCAGCCTCACCTCCCCAGAGTTGTGTGTGAAGCCCTTCTAGAAGCCTTTCCTCCAAGCATCCAAGAGAGGCTTCTTAGGGGCAGGGAACTCATTAAGACCCTGAAAAAAAGAACAAAGGGAGATTGTGCTTAAACGTGGAGCTAAACAGATGTTACACCTTTTCAGATAAAAGTAGATTAAGCCCACTGCTGGAAACCCATTTCCTCACTTCACAATTTGCAGCTTTCTGTGGACTGTCACAGGGAATGTGCGTGGTGGGTCAGGCAGTCTACATCATGGGGTGTACAGTATCTGTCCCAGCTTGTGCCCCTTCCCAATTTCAGGTCTTCCTAGAGTTATGGCTACAGAAGGGGGTCTAGGTTATGCCCCTTCCTCTGGAAAGTGGCTGCTGTGGGCACCTTGCCCAACCCAGTCCCGCTTGCCTCCAAGACCTTCATCCCTCCAGTTGGCCTTCCTTGCTCTTCTTGCAGTTGGAGATGCCACAAGCCACAGCTCGGAGGGAAGGTCAGGCTGGAGCGAGGGTCCTCCTGGAAAGAAGGAAGGCCACCTCCCCATCGGGGTCTTGCCTGGAGGGATGCAAGAAAGCTCTGGGGCCTTTCAGATCTGTTATGCTTGGTATGAGGAGTGCAGTGCAGGTCAGGTCTTCCCCTTCTCTACCTAAAGGAGAGGTGACACTGCTGTCCAGGGGTCAGGGAAGCCACACAAACACACATGCATTGCAGAGCCATGAGGCCTTTAAAAGTCTTCCAGACCCAACTAGTGGAAGGGACACACACACACACAGTTTGATTACCCCTGACTCACAGCTGGCTGCACTGGTTCCCAGTTTCCCTCCAGGTCCAATTCAAGGTGTTTTTCATCTTTAAAGCCCTTCATGGGATCAGGTTGTGAAAGCAACCATCTCACCCCAATGGGACTAGCCTGCCCCATGCACTCTGGCAGACGGGGTTTGCTGCAGACCCCATTGGTCAAGGAACTTCAGCTGGTGGGGTCTAGGAGAAGGGCCTTTTCTGCCACGGCCCCCACTCTTTGGAACATTGTGTCTCTCAAGGTGAGATCCATCCCCATCTGTCTCCTCCCAGAAGAGCCTCAAAACCTGGCTCGGCTGGTTGGTTTGGGGCCCCAACTAGCCCCCCCCCCCACGCTGGAGGTGGGTAGTGGACTGAGAGAAGATCCCGCGTTCATGCTCTCGGTTTTCAGTCTTTTCCTATATCTTACTAATGCTTTTATATGATTCTATTACATTGCAAGCTGCAAGGGTATCTCTTGGATAGTGAGATTAGTGGCATATACATTTAATAAATAAATAAACAACCCATTTACAGCCCTGCCATTGTACAAGTTGGGGTCCTGCTTACCTTTTTCTGACTCCACCATGGTTGAGATGTATGGCTCATGCCCCCTCCCCCACAACTTGACTCACATTTTTGAGAATTCCCAACATATTGGGGGGGAGGGGCAGCAGAAAGATTGATGGCTCATGGAGGACCACTCTAGTAGACTAAGCTGAGTTGTCACATGAGATGCTTGGGGAACAGGACTTTTAGTGGGCCTCTTGGCAAGCCAGAATTGGTACTGATGGTAGAAGGCTTTGCCAAGAGTCAGTGACCAGCCTTGCTGTTGCACCTGAGGAGAACACAAATCCCATGTTGCAAGCACTCAGCCAGAGTAAAGACAGAACAATCCAGTTGCATCCCTCTAAAGGTGAGAGCCGCGAAGAACCCCTGAAGGATGCAACTCCCGTCCCTGCTCATTCCAGCACTGTCCCGGTTGGACTGTTCTCCACCGAGGGCTGCCACTGAGCAACGCATTCTTCTCCCACAGGCACTATCTAGAGGCCACAGCCCTGCCAGAGAATCAGCATAAATGTATGCAAGTAGTCTTCCAACCATTATTATTATTATTGAACATATGTTGAGAATACGACAGAAAAGAAGTAAACAAACGCATATGATCCAAGTAACTAAAAACGGGGGGAGGGGAGGGCAATGGCATCATAACTGGATGCCCAATTCAGCTCTTCAGGCAGTGGCCTCTGGCATTGCTTCGTGCAGATTTTCTAGGGAACCATGTAGGCAATCTTGCACAAAATGTTTAATAGTTTGTATAACAGCCCACAATTACAACGAGGGGAAACTTTCCATCCTCACTGATACAGGGCAGAGACACCTCATCCAGTAAAACACATTGTTTTGTCCAGACAAAGCAAGGTAAGTCAAAACCAGGTGGTTTGGTAGAGAGATTTCAATCAGAACAGCTGGAAGGGACCTTGGAGGTCTTCTAGTCCAAACCCCTGCTCAAGCAGGAGATCCTCTACCATTTTAGACTGGTGGCTGTCCAGTCTCCTCTTAAAAATCTCCAGTAATGAAGCACCTGCAACTTCTGAAGGCAAGCTGTTCCACTAGTTAATTATCCTCATTGTTAGGAAGTTTCTCCTTAGTTGTAGTTGCTTCTCTCCTTGATTAGTTTCCATCCATTGTTTCTTATCTTGCCTTCTGGTGCTTTGGAAAATAAGTTGACCCCCTCCTCTTTGTGGCAGCCTTTCAAATACTGGAATCCTGCTATAATGTCCCCCCTAGTCCTTCTTTTCTCTAGACTAGCCAAACCAAATCCTGCGACCATTCTTCATATGTTTTAGTCTCCAGGCCTTTAATCATCTTAGTTGCTCTTCTTTGCACTTTTTCCAAAGTCTCAACATTTTTTTTGTAATGTGGGGACTAAAGCTGGATGCAGTATTCGAGGTGTGGTCTTACTAAGGATTTATAAAGCAGTTGTCAACACTGCAACTTCATTTTCGATTGCCACAGTTGGGAGGGGGGGATGTGTGCTTTTAAGGTTAAACAAAACAATTGTCCTGTGGGTTTTGGTGGGCTGAGCTTTCCAATAGAAAGCCCACCAAAGTAGTTTATTGGGGAATGTGATTTATGATATATTACTGGGGTGGGAAGTTCAACTTTGTAACCTTTGGGAGGGAACTTCAGTCTTGGTTTCACTTTTGATCACCGATACTTTGTAACTAATAAATATGTTCTTTAAGGAAACCTTTTGCTTTGGAGTTCTGTTTTTAGTGGTCTCATCTATCAGAACCATGACATTAAACCAAGACTCCAATTCATTTTAAAACACAGAGTCCTGAGCCCTGGTCACCTACCTAAACATTTGGGAGGATGACAAAGACTCAGGGAAGACATTGAGATGGAGAAGAATCGGCTGCTAGCCTCAGCACGATGGCAGTGAATGAAATGCAGGCTATAGCCCAGGCAGAAAGTGCAGCCCCTGCAGCTGGAGCGAGACCGAAAGCCTAGGAGATCTCACCAGAGAGGTCGGTGCAGTAAGGAGGAGCACTGACCCTCAGAGGGACCTGGCAATTGGATGCTACCCTGCAACGGAGAAGCACCATTAAGGCTGCTGAGTTCCCATTGATCTTGTCCCACGGATCTCGCTGGTGTTGAGAAAGGCAAAGTGATTGGCCACTTGGGATGAATCAGGGGAAGGGAAGTACCTGACAGCCATCCACAGTCACGCCGATAAACGTTTGAGAAAGAAATTTGATTGACTCGAGATGGGGGAAGTGGAGCCAATTACCCACCAGGTGACTTCCAGTGGATGAGAGGACAGGTGTCCCCAAGACCATCCACCACCACAGCGAAGCCCCAGTCCCATAGCGATAGCTCGTGCTGCCTCCCCACTGCCTAGACCATCTTTAACATCAAGCCCAGTGCGCTGGTAGAGCCCTGACCATTACTGACGCCCTGCCAGTCCAGGACCCCAACCAAGGGCTTTCCAAGGATGGGACCTTCAGCAACCCCCAATGCCAGAGGCCAGGCATACAGCAAGCTTACTGGGGGCAGCAACCTGTAGATCCACCTGCAATCAAGCCCACATTTGACAGGGATCCCGATAAGCTGTCCTTTTTCCTGAATCGTGGGCTCACATGAATCATTATGCCCATGCTTACCCAGATGGGGCCAGAATGGTTGATGCTGTGGCAGCGAATTTAGAAGGGGAAGCAGCTGAGTGGGTGACTGGCCTGCACGATGAGCAGGCACCGGAGCTATGGGACTTCAATCTGTTTATGCGTGGGCTGAGAGCCAGATTCAAAGATGAATCTCAAGCCCTACAAGCTGGTAAGGACATCCACAATTTGAAGCAGAGGGGATGGCCAGCAAAAGAATATGTAAGGGAATTCTGAAAGGTGGTTGGACAGATCAGGCAGTGGCCTGAACGATCACTGATCCACCACTTCAAGGCCAGTTTGGACCATGACTTATTCCAAGTGTGCACCTACAGAGAGATTCCTGATCAGCTTCATGACTGGTACCTCCTGGCTATAAACGTAGACATTGAACTGAACTGCTACCAAAGATCTACAACATCAGGGTTCAGACCAAGGCGAGACCAAGTGAAAAGTCAAGTGCCCCAGCACCCCCCACCTGCAATGGCCGCTGGGTTCCCTAGAGTACCTGCCGAACCCCTGATCAAATGTTTTGGATGTGAACAACTTGGACACCAAGCAGCTGATTGCCCAGTTCCTTTCCCTCCAGCTACGAGTGCACCCACTGCTTCTACAAAGCCTAAGAGAAAACCCAGACCAATGCACAAGAAGTCAAATTGGGCCAGCCAGGAGCAAGCTTCACCAGTTACCTCTCCCCTCCAGGGAACCATGGGGCTCCAGCTGAACACTTGCCTACGCCTGCCCCATGCGACAGTGACAATAGAGAAGACGACCCGATCGTGAGTCAACCTGTCCCACCTTTTGCCTTCTCTGCAAAGCTCTTAGTCCCTAAGACAGGAGCCCAGATGGATTTACATGTTTTAATTGACTCAGGCTGCACCCAATATTTGATCAACCTCCCCATGGTGCTTAAGCTGAACATTCATGCCAAATTGTTGCCCACACCCATGAGATTCAAGTAGGCAGATGGATCTCTTATAGGAGGGGCCCCAGCCACTCACTTGACTGAACCAGTATGCCTAGAGATGGGGGAGCATTGGGAACTCATCCTTTCGTAGTACCAAAAATGACAAGCAGTAATTTTGGGATTAGCCTGGCTTTATAAGTGGCAGCCCATGAGCTGGTGGGAAAACAGAGTGAGGACTTTAAGATTAGCAACTGGACCTTCACCTCCTATCCCTGCCAGCAGCACAAGTGAAAGCCAGGGGCAGTCCTTTGAGACCCTGAAATCCATCACAAACGCCCTACCTGGGATGCCAATCATCCCAAGCAAATATCAAGACTTAGCTGAGGCATTCATTGAGATGAACTGTGACATCCTTCCCCCTCACAAAACAACTGACTGTGCTATTGAGATTTTGCCGGGAGCTCAAGCAAAAAATGTACTCAATGACCCCTGCGAACTGAGAGAGGGAGTACCTTGATAAGAACTTGACCATGGGGTTTATTCAGCCAGCAAAATCCCAAATAGCTGCCCCTGTAACTTTTTAAAGAGAAGAAAGATGGGTTGCTGAGGCTCTGCATTGATTTTAAAGGGTTAAACATGGTCAGCCTGGAGAAGATGTAACCCCTCCCTTTAATGAAAGACATGTTAGCCCATTTGGCAAAAGGAAAGTTTTTTTTACCAAGTTCGACCTAAGAGAGGCATACTATCGAGTGAGAGTTTAAAAAGGAGACAAGTGGAAAACGGCTTTTAACAGCCCCCTTGGAAGTTTTCAGTTCAAAGTTATGCCATTTGGTCTGCAGGGGGCCACTGTTGTATTCATGCAATTGATCAATCAAGTGCTGCGTGATCACTGTACAAGGGGGTCTTAGTCTACCTTGATGACATCCTCATTTACACAGAGACCATGGCAGAGCATATTAAATTAGTGTGTGAAATACTCAAAAAACTGCTGATCGCTAAACTTTACACGAAGCTCTCAAAATGTGAATTCCATCAAATGCACCTAGACTACCTAGGATATAGAATTTCCAATGAAGGCATTTAGACGGATCCAGCCAAGGTTAAAGCCGTAATAGAATGACAATTCGCAAATTTCTACTGACAATTCATCCCCTCTTTTGCTGAGATCGCTTTGTCAATTACTGAACTGTTAAAGACTGGGAAAAACGGGGGGGAAGCTACAACCCTGTCAGCCCCTGCCATGGTCTATAGAATGCCAAACTGCTTTTGAGAACTTAAAGAGACTGTTTGCAGCCCAGCTTGTTCTCAAACACCCCAACCCTGAGGAGCAATTCATCATCCAAGCTGACGCTAGCAATGTAGCTGTGGGGGCAGTCCTTTTGCAAAAAAACAAAAAGGGAGACTTGCAACCCTGCACCTACACCTCCAAAAAAATATCAGACACTGAGCGGAGGTGCGTTGTTTGGGAAAATGAAGTTT